GCGTTTACCCCCTCCTGCCCTTGGGGAAGGCAAGGAGGGACCGTCCCCTTCACCCCCACACCTGACACCCCTCATCCCTCCCCCCGGTCTCACCTGTGCCCACCTCAGTGCGGCTGTGACATCTCCTGGATGGCGGTGTCACCTCCACAGCCCCTCAGCACCGCGGTGGGACACGGAGGGGACGAGCTGCAGCCCCCAGGCAGTCCTGGCCACCTCCAGCAGCCCCGGGCAGGATGGGATGGGGCAGATCCCGGCCAGGGACCATCTCCAGCACGGCTCAGGGAGCCCTGTGACCCTCCAGACACAGTGAGGAACTATCTCAGGGGTGGGAAAACCCTTCAGGGTTCTGCAGATGGTTCCAGGGAAGGCAACATGGAGAATTGGGCACCGAGATGTCTCCACAGCACCTCTTCCTCCCCTGGATTCTGCTGCGGCCACTCCCCAAGGCCGTTTATACAGCTGGGGATCTACTTGTGCTTAAACTGCCCCCAAACAGCAGCTCAGCTCTGTATCACAGCCCTGCTGGGCACACACGTCAAGGTGCCCCATGGGGACCAGGATTCGTGTCCTCAGGAGCCCCGACCTTGGCTGCCTGGGTGAGACAAGCTGTGCCTGTTTCAGGGTGGCAGCGTGGCCACCACAGGGACATGGGGACACGGGCACACGGGGACATGGGATGGAGCCACCCCGTTATGAAACGTCCCTGCAGGAAGACACGGCGAGTGAGCGGCTCCGACGATCCAGATGAGCCCGGGCATCACAAAGGGCTTTGCATTCCAGGAAGCTTATTAGAGATTTAAATTACACAAATGGGCTTTTTTCCCCAAGATCCTCATTATCTGGGCATTTGCTCTTAATCCTCAGATATTCCTGCAGCCCCTGCCCTGTGCCCCCTCTGCAGCTCCACTTCCCATCCCCGTGGCTGCCCAGGGCTGTGCAGGACGTGGGGACAGTGCCCAGAGCTTGTCCCTGTCCCTGTGTCCTGCACAGCCCCGCAGGTCACCAGGGAGACCCTGCTTGGGGTCTTGCTGACACAGCCAAGGGCTGAGCCCCTCTTGCTTTGCCCTCTCCCTTCCCAGCTCATCCCACTATCCTGCCAGGCTGCAGGGATGGTCAGGGATGGAACCTGCTTGGCTATGGAGCACTGACCTTCTCCCCCCACCTTAGGACACAGGTTTGGGGCACTCAGGGTCACCCCAACCCTGCCTGGGCTTCTCCACATGTGAGGATGGTCCCACAAGGCATGTGGGGAACCTCAAATCACCAAAGCCCCTGGAGGTCCCATCAGGGTGTGCCAAGTCCTGGGCACCTCAGGCACCCTGAGCTGACACCAACACTGCACGTGGGTGTGTGCAGAGCTCTGGGCCCCGATGATGTGGCTGCCCTGTGTGCTCAGGGACACGCGTGGGGCACAGGGTCCCACCTGCAGCCCCATCCCACCCTGCTGCAGTGAAGCCTCAGGGGCTTCCCAGCTGCCATGGCAACGCAGGAAATTCCAGCAGAAATCCCTGCGAGGAGGAGAAGAAGGAGGAGGAGGAAGAGGGGGAATCTCCCAGCCAACACCCCACGTCTCTCCCCACCACCAGTGGGGAAGATGTCACCATTTCAGCATCCTCCTAGCAAGGCTGGAGCCCCCTGGAGCCAGCCCTGAGCCAGCCCTGCTCCCTGCCCTGCCTGTTTTGGGGCTCTGGTACCCCCAGGGGACAGTCCTGCTCCCCCTGTGACACAGCTGAGCCCCCAAACTGAGTGGTGGGAGCAGGAGCTGGTGTGGCCCCAACAAGGGGTGATGGAAGGGGCTGCGATCCCAGAAAACACACGACTTTGGGATGGAGGGGATGAGGAGCCAGAAGGGATGTGCTGGGGGACATTTGTCCCCAACCCAGGGACACTGCAAATCTGGTGGTGTTGCTGGCAGAGCACGGCCCTGCCCGTGCCCCCCGTGCCCTGTATTATCCTCTCTCCCTCTCTCCATTCCAGCGTGGGGGATTAGGTGGGTTTAGGGCCGGGTGTCAGTCAGGAAGGGGATGCTTCAGATCAGCCTGCGTCACTTGAGGCCTCTGTCACTCGTGCAGGGGGGGATTAAAAGAGATATGAAGATTATTAAAGGGGAAATGGGACCCCCACCATCGAGGGGCCCTGACCTTTCCTCCCAGCATTGATTCCAGGACCATGGTGGGGGGGGCACAGCTCCAGCCCCCAGGGTGCCCTCAGCCCCAGTGCACAAATCTCCCCCTTTTTGTCACCTTTCTGCTCACAGTTCCAGCTCCAGCCCCCATCCTGTACCCCATACCAGCCCCCATCCTGTACCCCACTACCAGCCCCCATCCTGTACCCCATTACCAGCCCCCATCCCTCTGCAAACACTTTTCATACAAGGGATGGGATTCTCCTATCCCCTCCCCATCCTTATCCCCACTACCAGCCCCCATCCTGTACCCCATACCAGCCCCCATCCTGTACCCCATACCAGTCCCCATCCTGTACCCCATACCAGCCCCCATCCTGTACCCCATACCAGTCCCCATCCCTCTGCAAACACTTTTCATACAAGGGATGGGATGAGACACCATCACAGCAGCTCTCATCAGCTGTTCCCTTTGTTTCCAGTCCAATCCCATTCCCAAAAGGTCCCCTGACCTTGTGGAGGGTTCCCAGCCCCGTGGAGCCACTGGCCATGGATCCTGCAACATGAAGGTGCCAGGTCTCTCTTTACAAGCACCTGCAGCCCCTCAGTCTCACTGAACTCAGTACCCAGCAGATTTTGGGGTGAATTAACCTCTTTCTGGATCTCTCAAGCAATCCCACCCCTCCAGCTCCCCATCCCACAGCAGCCACCCCAGCCCCTTCCCCCTTCCCTGTTCCCCCCAGGGCGAGGATGGGGCTGAGGATTTAATCACTTTATGGATGTTTATTTGTGCAATTTGGAGGAGAGCTCCCCTGCCTCCCATCTGCCCCCGCCATCTGCTTCCCAAACAATCCCAGGCTTTGCAAGTGGATGGAGCTGGTGCAGGAAGGCAGGAAAACCTGCCGGGAATGGCACCTGTTTCCAGAGAGCACCTGGCTCCACTGGACTCTTTTCCCAGTGCTCAGAGCAGCTGCCAAAACCTGCTTTGCTCCAGCCCGTGGAATGCCCAGGGATGCTGCACAGCATCGGTGCCCAGCTGCTTGCTGGGGATACTCAACCCTAAATGTCCCCTTCCGGTCCCAAAACACCTGCCTTGGCACCTTCTTGGGCTAGGAAGGTGATGGAGAAACCTGTGCCCGCAGCTGGGGGAGCCCGAGGTGGACATGGGGGGGGGATCCCCGTGGCCCTGGGCTCGTTCTGTCCCTGCAGGGACCACCCGGCCTGTGTCTGGGGGCGGCTCTTTCCGAGGGGACAGGATGGGGACC